CTTGGTTGTGACGACATATGCATGAGGATCCTGGAGCTGAGCTGCATCATCACGCTTAGCGGTTTCCAGAGAACAGCTCAGAGTCACTGACTTCTGATCAAAGTAGGCCTCCCATTCTTGAAAACCTGGAAAAGTCACTTCTCAGCTCCAAGGACAAACCCCTGAGAGACCTCTGCCTATAATTCTTCCCCTCCCTTTAGAGAAAAGGAAAGGAGAAAACCCAGCAGTACCCTTACCTCCTTCTAAACAGCTCCAGGGAGGGGCCTGCAACACGAGGAGAGACACAGGGCCAGGAGTCAGTGGGCACAGCCAGGGAAGTGAGGCTCAGCCACCGTCCTGCGCTGGCAGCAGGGCCGGCCCGCACTCTCTGGTGACCGTAGGAGAGGTCCCTGGCTGGGGCAGCAGCAAAGTTTCCCCAGGAGCAGAGTGGGTGCTTCCCCTGAACCCAGGAGAACCTCAGGGCACCTGGCTTCTTGCCCAAGCCTTTCACGGAGACCTGTCTTCAGTATCGTGTCGCCCATTTAACGTCGAGGGGTAGACTGGCCTCCCGTTGACCACTCCAAACCTAGCTGGATGATGCGGGCCGTGCAGTGCTTATGAAATGCAGATTCTTGGGCCTGCCCAGGACCTAGTGACTCAGGACCTCCAGGGTGTTTTTGACAATAAGGCCTAGGCAGCTGTGAGCTCCCCAGTGGCTCCGAGCTGTCCCTTCAATCCCTGGAGGGGCAGAAGAGGGAACCAGGCCTTGCCCAGGGCTGCCAGGTGGGCAGTGTGGTCCCTTCTGCTGTCGGCGGAAGTTCATCGTGGGTGTTTGGGTGAATGCAGGAACCTGCGAGAGCTCTGCTGTCACTGCAAGAAGTGCCACTGGAGATGGAGGTACCAGGCGAGCTGCCTCCCCTCTCTGAGCCTCAGTTTCCCCCCACCTCTTGAAAACTAGGTTTCTGTGATTCTACATCTCTCATCTCCTAGGGGTCCTCATGCTGCCTTCCCAGTGTAGCCAGAATGTGGACCACCCGTCAGAAAAGTGCTTTGTCATCCTGCCCCTCCCCCGCCCCCCTAGTCCCAGGACTTTTCTGGTCACCCTCAAATAATAAAAAGTCCCCAGTCACTTTGTGTCCTAGAAGCGTCTCATTTCAGTAGCTACTATGTCCAGTTCACTGTAAGAATCGACACTGCCAGCTGATTCCGGGTGGCTTCCAACTCCCACCCCTGCCCCCCAAAGGGCACGCTCTGAGGTGCGAACACTCTTTCCAAAGAAATGTTCTCTCAAGGTCCAGCCATTCTATCAGCGGCTCCATCTCTAGCAGGCTGGGGAAGAGGCAATTGGGTTAAAGATTATTACATAACCTGTTTTCAGGTATCCCCTTCACAAGTTTCGAAAGGGAGGCGTCTCTCCCGGCACTTGGGGAGACCAGAGCTGAGACAAAAAACATCCTGTGTTAACATCCCATTTTCTGAACATGTCCCAAGTGTCCCGAAGCCCCTGACTTAGGAGGAAGACGAGGATGGGGAGACAGAGCCTTGGCTCCGAAAGGAAAAATGTCCTTGGGTGGCAGTGGGGGAACAGGCCAGAAGCAAAGCCCTGGGGGGAGTTGTTGGGGGAGGGGGGACATTGGGCGTTCCACCTGCACCTGAATGGGGGTACACGTGTGACCCCACCGCCTGCAACAGCGGCATGGTGTCTGCGGCTCTGGGGTGCTCACGGAGGCAGGGTCACACCACCTGGTTGGGCCTGCCTTCCCCTTCCTGTGAAGACCCTGCAGCTCTCAGAAGCCAGGAGCTCAGGGGTAGGGGAGCTGCCCTGCGCCAGCCTGAGCTACCAGCCTTCCCTGCTCTGTGGGCATGTCTTGGGAGCTGGGCAGAGCTCCACCCTCAGTCCTGGAGGCTGAAAGTTTGGCATCTGCACCTCCCAGGCTATTGGGAGGTCAGGCATGAGAATACAGACTGGGAGTAATCAACGACTCGCTGGACCACAGAGTTAAAAAATAATCAAGCATTTCACACCCTCTGGACTAGCAGAAAATTACAAAGTCTGACTCTACCAAGTGTGGCAGAATGAGGAACAATGGAGACTTTCATAAGCCGCTGGTGGGGTCAGGAAGTTATACAATATGGGGACCCTCTTTACGAAAGCATGCAGAGTGAGTCAGAGTCTTGGAAGGGTCCTGAGCAAGTGGGGGTCCTGAGCTTAATTAAGCTTCATCAGCTTCCTGGAAACTTCACTTCTGTCTGTGTAAGTTGGAATAACCCTTTTGGACATCAGTGTGCTAGCATCTGTGCATTCCGTACGACCCAGCAAGTCAAATCTCTGTGTGTTCCCAAGAGAAATTCCCAAAAGTAAAGAGGCAAATACAAGGATGTTCTTTGGCAGTTCCATCTGCGCTATCAAAATGCAACAAATTGGAAATTGCCCAAATGTCCATCAATAGGAGACTGAATAAAGAGTGTCAACATGTATAAACCTCAGAACAAGGCTGCATGAAAAGCATGTTGCAGAAGGATGTGTACGGGGTGACAGTACTTTCAGAAAGCAAGAAAATATATAAAACCACACCATGTGCAGTCATAGATAGTTAGGTGTGCAGTAAAGGTCTAATCTTGAACACACATTCAGCCCAGGGGTCGTCCTGAGGCTGGAGGGAGGAGAGATAAGGTAAGATACTAGCAAAATATCCAGAGGGCTTAGATGTCATCTGAAAGCTCTATTCCCTTAATACTGAGAGTAAATAAGGCAAAATATTAAGATTTGACAAAGTTGAGTGTTAATTACATGGATGCCTATTAAAGTATATATACTTTTCTGTCATTTTTGAAATAGTTCTTAATTTAAAAAATCTGATTTGAAGTTGGTACAACAGAAAACTAACCATTTAAAATGGACCAGTTCGATGGCATTTAATACATTCACGATGTTGTGCAACCATCACCGCTAACTCCAAAACATTTTCATCACCCTGAAAGAAAAGCCCGTACCCATTAAGCTACTCCCAATTTCCCTCTCCTCTCAGCTCCTGGCAAACCACCAATCTGTGTTCTGTCTCTATAGATTTACCCATTCTGGACATTTCATATAAATGCAGTCATACACTATGTAACCTTTTGCGCCTGGCTTCTTTTACTTAGAGCAGTGTTTTCAGGTGTATCAACCTGTATCAGCACTTCATTCCTTTCTACAGCTGAATAATATTCCGTTGCATGGAATATTACAGTTTGCTTATCCATTCACCTGTTGATGGGACATTTGGGCTGTTTCCACCTGTTGATTATTGCGACACACATGTTCATGTACCTATTCAGGTCAGGGCAAGAGGAGGAGGGTGTGCTAGAGTCTTTTGCATGAAGCCCAATTAACACACTTAAAAAAAAAATTATTTATTTGGCCATGCCGTGTGGCTTGAGGGATCTTAGTTCCCCAGCCAGGGATTGAACCCGGGCCCCTGGCAGTGTAAGCACAGAGTCCTAACCACTGGACTGCCAGGGAATTCTCAACACACTTTCTTATGATTCTTGTTATAATGCTCCCCAAACAGCTACAAAGGCAGAGTACAAAACTCATTAGGGCAACTCAAGAGATACTAGCAAGTCATTTTGTTGCTTAAAAATCTCTCTGCCCCATCTCACCTCACCTTTAGCCATCATCACTTACAGTCACCAAATTCTGCCTTTGTAAATACAGTAGCCTCTGAAGGAACCACCTATTACTCATTACACATGCTCATTTTCAGGCTAAGTGCGACTGGAAGCATAGAGATGAGCCATCTGGGGAAGGAATGTTCCAGTGACTGTGAGCCCCTTCCACTCTGGGCCTGGGTGTCCCTACCTATAAATGGTGTGGCTCAGCTTAGAGGTGTCCAGGGTTTCTCCTAGATGTCACTTCCTTGATATGGTGCCATCAAGCAAACTTAACCCGCCCCCCCTTCCCTTTCCCCCAACCCTCCATGGATGACAGAACCTGATCCCTTTGTTGTTCACACCCTCCCTGACCGTCAGGAGATAAGAAGCTGGGGTCCCGTTTTTAAACAGGCTTTGGACGTTTTCTTTTCCAGCTGACTCTCCAGGCAGCCACTTCTGCGGTGGGGACGCAGGGAAAGGAGTCTCGGAGCCCGTGGAATGGCACCCACAGAAGAAATACCGCCCCCGCTCCCCCCACCCCCTTAGGTGAGGCCCTGGGGCCCTGGGGAGTTTGGGCTGAAGGCGGGTCTGAAGCCTCCCGGCAGTGAGCACTTTACAGGAGCCCAGAGTAGGAAGCGCTTTCCTGCGGCCGCGGGCTGAGGCTGTGCGGCTCCAGTGTAAGGAGGGACCAACCGCGGTGCAGAGGTCTACAGACTGCTCAAGGTCAGCCAAGGCAGGGGACGGCTCTCACAGGTCCCTCTCCCCTCGCACACCCCACACTGGGCACCATGGCTGTGGCGGAGCGAACGACAGCGTGTTTTATTAGTTCTAGATCAAAGTTGTCGCAAACACCTTCACCAGAGACGTTCAAGAGAAAATAATCCCGATTCGGCTCCTCCTATGACACCAACCCAATCTCCACACTTCGCTTGGTAATCCTCAGGTTTCTTCTGATGATTTTTAAAATTTGAAGCAAAATCCTAACCCTGGAAAGAGCTGGGCCCCTCTACAGGGACGTCGCTCTCCAATAAGGGCTTCCTCTGCGCGGCCCATGGGAGACAGGTCGGGAGCGCAGCATCGAAACCGGCGCGCAAAGAGTGGACCGGGGCCGGCTTCGGGTATCTGACCCGTGTTGCGAGTTCGTTTTTTCCACCTAAGTCTTGGAGACGGTTTCCCCATGGCCGTTAGCTAGAAGGGGCCAAAGTATTACTGCGGGGTGGGCGTGCGGGACAGTCTTTCCTCCCCGGGCCCGGCTACCGAGGCTCAGGGACCCTCGCTGCTTGCGGATCAGTCGACGCGCTGTGCCGCTCTCCCCCAGGAGAGCGCGCGGCACGACCCATCCCATCCCGGCCTCCCCGCGGCGGGCGCGGGGCGCGCCAGCCACTCACAAACTCGAAGATGAAGAGCAGGTCCGGGAAGGTGGTGAAGACCGCGAAGCCGCTAGGCAGGCTGATGCCGCCCGACGCCGCTGAGGGGGCCATGCTGGTGGGCTGGCGACGGCCTCGGAACGGGATGCGCGCAGCTCTGGCTCTGCGCTGAGCGCTCGTTTGCTCGGCGGAGCTCAGTGGCCAGGGCGCCCCCGCGCGCGGGTTAAGAGCAGGGGCGCCCCTGACGAAGAGGGAGGAGCCCCGGTCGCCGCCCGGCCCCCGCCCTAGACTGAGGGCCACCCCAAGGGACCTGCCCAGCGCCAAGGGCGCAGCCCTGAACCACCCCGAGGTTGGGGCGGGGGTTTGACTCCTGATTCCCACGTCTGGGCGCCACCTCCCACCCGGAGCCAAAGCTACCGCGGTGAGGCGCTTCTCACACTTCGCACACTTCGCACACTTTGCAGGTGATCGCCATTTCTTAAGAATGATCGCCATCAACCACTAGGGCCCCCAAACTCTCCACCGTGGCACCCCTCGGGTCACCACTGCTCGAACTGTTCTTAAGTTGGAGCTCTTTCATCTTTCTGTTGGGTTAGTTAATATGCGTGACCTCTGAGTCCAGGCTCATCGTGAGACCAGTTCCTTGCCCTGCAGAGGCGGTGCTGAGACCAGCTCCGGCCACCCATTCCTTCTCCTCGCACCCTCAGAGCCCGGAGCCCGGAACGCTGCACCCCGGTCCGCATCACTCCGTGGTGGAGCTGCTGGGCGATGGATTAAGGACGTCACAGCTGCCTTGGACCTTGGAGGGTGGAGGGGAGCCAGCATTGCTGAGGGCCTTACTAAGTGCCCAGCACTGCCATAGGCTCTTTGCACACATGACCTCATTTAATCCCACAGAGCCTTTCCAGTAGGTGTCACCCCACCTACAGACTCAGAGTGGGGAAGGAACATGCCCAGGCCACATGGAGGGCAACGGGGCCTCTTGACTCTAGAAGGCAGACTGTCCCACTGCCTCCGTGCCCCCTGCATAAAATCCACGCACTTGAAAACTATATCTGTGAGTCTGCTTCATTTATGTTATATTCAATAGTTTGTTGTATTTTTTAAATTTCACATATAAGTGATATCAACAGTATTTGTCTTTCTCTGTCTGACATTTCATTTAGCACGTCTTCCAAGTCCGTCCATGTTGCTGCAAATGGCAAAATTTTATTCTTTTATATGGCTGAGTAGTATTCCATTTTGTGTGTGTGTGTGTGTGTGTGTGTGTGTGTGTGTGTGTGTGTGTATCTCACATCTTCTTTATCCATTCTCTGTTGATGGACATTCATGTTGCTTCCATATCTTGGCAATTGTAAATAATGCTGCTGTGAACATTGGGGTGCATGTATCTTTTCAAATGAGTGGTTTAGTTATACTCAGGAGCAGTGTCAGATGGTAGTTCTATTTTTAATATTTTGAGAAAACTCCATACTGTTTTCCAAAGTGACTGCACCAATTTACCTTCCCACCAACTGTGTATGGGCCTTCCCTTTTCTCCACATCCTCGCCAACATGGATTGGAAGAATTAATATTGTTAAAATGACCATACTACCCAAGGCAATCTAAAGATTCAGTGCAACCCCTATTAAAATACCAATGGCATTTTTTTGCAGAACTAGAACAAATAATTTTAAATTTTGTATGGAAACACAATAGACCCTGAATAGCCAAAACAATCTTGAGAAAGAACAGAACTGGAGCAATCATACTCCCTGACTTCAGACTATACTACAAAGCTACAGTCATCAAAACAGTATGGTACTGGCACAAAAACAGACACATAAATCAATGGAACAGAATAGAGAGCCCAGAAAGAAACTCACGCACTTATGTTCAATTAATCTATGACAAAGGAGGTAAGAATATACAATGGAGAAAAGACAGTCTTTTCAATAAGTGGTACAGGGAAAACTAGACAGCCACACATAAAAGAATGAAATTAGAACATTCTCTAACACCATATACAAAACTAAACTCAAAATGGATTAAAGACCTAAATGTAAGATAGGAAACCATAAAACTCCTAGAGGAAAACATAGCCAAAATATTCTTTGAAATAAATTGTAGCAATATTTTTTGGATCTGTCTCCTAAAGCAAAGGAAATAAAAGCAAAAATAAACAAATAGGACCTTAGTAATAAAACTTAAATGCTTTTGCACAACAAAGACAACCACTGACAAGTGAAAAGACAACCTACTGAATGAGAAAAATATTTGCAAATTATATGACTGATAGGAGTTAATATCCAACATATATAAACAGCTAATATAACTAAAAAAAAAATAAATAAATAAACCGATTTAAAAATGGGTAGAAGAACTGAATATACATTTTTCCAAAGAGGAAATGCCTACGGCCAAGGGACGTGAAAAGATGCTGATCACTAATCCAGGAAATGCAAATCAAAACCATGGTGAAATATCACCTCATACCTTTCAGAATGGCTGTCATCAAAAAGAACACATATAAAAAATGTTGGCAAGGATGTGGATCCCTGCCTTTTTGAAGCTTACTCTAGGGAAAGGAGAGAGAGAGAGATCAACCAAACACTGCATGATAAATGTGTAAAGGGTTTGGTGCTGGGAGGAGACTGCAGGGATCCTCAAGGGCACCCAGCAGCCCAGCCTGGCTTGGCCTAGGGGTGGAGGGAGCTTGTGGGAGGAAGTGACCCTTGAGCGAGTGTGCAGTGGTTAACTAGAGGGAGAAGGAGGCCTTCCCTACAGAGGAACAGCAGGCACGGGCCCTGGAGGATGGTCAGGCCCTGCTCCATGTGCTGCAAGGGCTGCAGGATAAATAAGGGAATCCCTGATAGGGGTCAGAGCCACTGTGCTGGGGGAGGAGGGAGGCGAGCCATGGACGTCTAGGGCAGAAGGAAATAGGCACAGACGGTGGGTTCTGGGAGAAGAAGACAGGACAGATGCTGATAGGGGAGCCTGTGCAGGAAGAGGGAGGCAGGGTGCACCTGGAAGGGTCCTGGAGGCTGGAAAGTCTTTGATCTCTGTGGGGAGCAGGGTGGCTCCTGCGGCAGAGCTGGAAAGGCCAAGGGCAGGCTGGGCTCAGAGGAAAGGGGCAAAAATCTAAAGAGTATTAAGCATACTTCAAGCTTAGTCATTTCCCCCTGTTCAGCCCTGAGAATAATCAGGTTCATGCTCTCTGCCCCAGAGAGGGGTGGGGACCCTGCCACTCTGCAGGAGAGCTCACCGCCTGCCCAGTGAGTTACACCTAGAGTTTGGCCCAAGTTGCCCAAGACATCAGGAAGCATCAGATGCACAGAGAGGGCTGGGCCAGTGGGTCCTCTGGATGCAGACTCACTCACTACTCAAGCTGTGCAGGTTGGGGCTTGCAGGCTGCTCCCTGTTAAGCCTGTCCTTTCCAGGTTTCACTTACGGCATCTCTCAAATAGCTTTTGTCATGCAGCATGCTTCTAAGACTCCAAAGAATTGCTGAGAAAACACCAGAATTTAGCAGGTCCATCCTGGAACAGCCTTGATCCTGGGCCTTTCACTCTCAAACTCAGGCTTCCTCCGAAGGCCTCCCCATGGGAACTGACCCCCTCTCGGATGACCAGGAGCCCACCTTCTAGAGAAGCCACTTGCCTCCAGGTATTGAGAAAGTAAGAGAAACCTTTACCCTCCCACCTGCTATGCCAGAGGGACCTTCCTTGTTATCTTTTCTCTGCATTTGTTTTCTTTTGGAAAAAATACACTTAAACTTAGAAAACAGAGAAAGGAAAATTGTACTAATACTCCCTGATTCTTCCAAATCAAGGCAACTATTTTCAGCTCTGCACGTTACCTTTTAGAAGTCATGAAGGGGCAGACTTGCCACCTCTCTGAGCTTCTGTTTCCACTTGGTGACTTGTCCATTCATTCAACCTAAAATGTACCCTCAAACTGCCACGCCCAAGCTGTCTGAGCACAAGTGACCAGGCTGGAGAGGGAGGTATACGTGGGAGCCTGGGTAGTGGAGGTGAGGCCATTGTGCCTGGGAGCATTCCAGGTGGCAGCCATGACGGCCTTTGACAAGGCCATTGTGCATTCTTCTCCAGGGAAGAGAGGGGATTCCAGCAGGTGCCCATGTTTCTTCAGTTCTTGGAAGGCTTGGTCAGTGCAAAGCACTTGGGACAGAGCCTAAAGAAACAGGGGTCCAGGGACCAGCCCATAGTTCTCTGAATCAGCATAGGGATATCTGGGACAGCATGAATTCAGAAAATACAATAAAACTATAGAAAACCTCAACCAAGCGGAATTTGAAACTTGGTGCAGAAGAACGGCATGTCCTAATGAAGAGTAGTAGGAACTTGCTAATTCACCTTTCGGTGCTCAGTACTTACCACAGTGCCTGGTACATGTGAAGGGTGATGAGTGTTTGTTGGAGGACAGGGAGAGAGGGTGGGGGGAAGGAGGGACAGAAAGAGGGAGGGAAATATTAAGCATGCAGGCAGGTTTCTGGAAAGCCCAGGAACATTCAGCTTCCACAGGGGCTGTGTCCCACTGGTTTCCTGAACTTGCCAGGATGTGTGTCCTTTGGGTGAATTGGTTGCTATCACTGTTAACAGACTGGCTTTTCCAGGTGTGGGGAACAGAAAGGAGGAAGAGCTCTTGGCTGCTCTAGGTCTTGGTCTATGACTCGGAGCAGCTAAGCCCTTGCAAGGAAGGGAGGGTGCCTGTCGCTGCTTCACCTGGATGACAGAGAAGGCTCCGGAGAGCTGCACCCAGAAGTGTGCAGGACACAGCCTGGCTGAACAGGGTGGATGGTGCCACAGCCCCTGGGGACGAGGCCTGGCCCTCATCTGACCAGCCCAGCTGTTTTGGGCAGCAGTCGTGACTGTGCAGAGCAGCCATTGCATCATGGGAGGTGCTTCAGACCCCAACTTAGACATCAGAAGGACCAGAATCCTGGCCTTACCAGGTTCTCTGAGACACGACACCCCCTCCCCACCTCTGGTCAGTCAATGGCAGGGAGCAACTCTGTGGGAAAGGACAGCCCATTCTCAAGAAGCCCTGTGACCACAACCACTCAGAATAGGACAAGACACCCAGACACACCGGGGCTGTGTCCATTCTGTGGGAGCCCCTCTCAGAGCTGGAAAAGGCACAGTAGACATCCATGTGCTGACACAGGAACATGACCAGGAGAGCATAATTTG